GAGGATCACTATGAGTCCAAGCTGCATAATGAGACCCCGTACCAAACACATAAAAATAAATAAATAAATAAGCCAGGCTTTATACTCCAGACATTCTTTTTATTTATTTATTTTTATTTACTTTTTTAGGCAAGGGTCTACAAGGTGTTCAGGGACTCACCACTAGATCAGACTAGTGGTGATCCGCCTGTTTCCAGCCTCCCAAGAGCTAGGATGACAGGCAGCACCACCACGCCCAGTCTCAGTTGCCATCTCAGCATGCCCCGGGGGGTGAGGCCAGCGTGGCAGGCTGGGGGATGGAACTCCTGCCCCCTGCGCCTGCTTGCAGGTGCTTCCACTGAGCCATTTGGCCAGCCCCTAGACATTCTTTTGATAATGCTCAGAATTTTAATAACTTTTAATGGTTCCATTCTTTTTGGAGCTTTGTTTTGTTTTGTTAGTGATACTGGGGATTGAACCCAGAACTTTCATGCTGAGCTGTATCCCCATCCCTTTTTATTTTGAGACAGGATCTCTCTGAGTTGCTAAGTTGCCCAGGCTGGACTCAAACTTGGGCTCCTCCTGCCTCTGTCTCCTAGAGTATTAACAGTAGTTACCGTGAGTTCTGTTTGATGCCAACAGACCTTTCCCCTTCCCTCCACCCCCACCGTTATATTTAAGTCCTCTGAGTTCATTTTGCTGCTTCTGGGTACTGCGTTGCGAGGATGTCTGTAATTACAGATCTTCAGATAGGATTCCTCTTCCAGCCAAGACTGAGGACTCTTCCTGCAGCCCAGTAAGGCCGTGGGCACTGCAGTGGCTGTGAGGAAGGGAAGCTGCGTGGCCAGAGCTACTGCCTGGTGAATAAAGTGACAGCTCGTCATTGGAGCTTCCTCTGTGCATGTGAAGGGGACACAAGAAATTAGCTCCTGCGGTCCCTGCACTAAGAGACGGAGCTCAGCCCTCCACTTCCCACAAAGACATTTCTCTTTCCTTTATAGCTTGCCTTATTTTTTCATTTCTTTTTAAATAAGAAGCAAAAGACTTCTTGTAAAAGCAATAGAAAACATTTCAAAGGAAGAACTGAATACTTCTTGGCTTTTTGAATAGAGATGAAGAGTCTCACCCACTTGAGTCTGGTCTTGAACTTCTTTTTTTTTTTTAAGTTTTTTAATTTCTTATTTATGTTAGTCATGAATTTCTTAAGCCTCAGTTTTCTCATCTGTAAAATGAGCACCTGCAACTACCCTCTCTACCTCATACTTTATTGTGAGAATAATGTATAGAAGAGCAACTTGACAACCCTCCTGTCGCCTTGTGGAAAGGCTCTTCTGCTCTTGTTAGAACCAGCTCTCGGGCGCGTGCTCAGAGCCCCGCGTGCTGGAAGCTGAGCACGCGTGTACTCTTCCGCCTGCTTGGCAAGCCTGGGTAGTTTGCTTCTGGCTCTTTACCTGTCCTTGCAGTTCCTATCCTTTCCTTAATGGGAAGCTTTGGATTGAAAAGAATTATGTCTGCAAGTGTCGAGGGAAATGCATGCACATGTGGACAGTGGATTCTGTCCTGATGGAGCCGCTCTGCTGTGGGCGTTTTATATTTTCATTTGTTTCCTTACAGTGCTAGAGATTGAACTCAGGACCCCGTGAATGCTAAGCAAGTGCTCCGCCACGAAGCTACACCCCCAGTCCTTTTTGCTTTATTTTGAGACAGGGTCTCGCTGTATAGCTCATGCTGGTTTTGAACTCATTATGAAGCCCAGGATGGCCTTAAATTCAAGGCAATCCTCCTGCCTCAGCCTCCCAAGTGCTAGAATTACAAGCCTGGGCCCCCACACCTGGTTCACACTTCTGATCCTGTTGCCTCAGCCTCCCCAGTTGCTGGGATTAAAGGCATGTGTCATCATGCTCTTTTTTTTATGAATAGCACAAGGTCTACAGGGTCTCACTACACAGACCGTACTTATAGTGATCCTTTCTGTTTTTCAGCATCCCAAATGCTGGGATTATAGGTGTGCATCACCACGCCCAGTCTCAATCACCTTCTCAGCATGCCCAGGGGCAGGGTCGGCAGGCAGGCCGGGATCATGGATCCTGCCTTAACAGGCGCTTTAATCCACTGAGCTGTCTGGCCAGCCCATGCCCAGCTTTCTGCGGTCATTTTAAAAAATTTTTATTGAGACTTGTTTGCAATGTATGATTCTGTGTTCTTGATATACGAACATTCTCTTTCTACCTACACTTGAGTAGGTAGCGTAGAATGTGCGGCCAGGAGTCAGCAAACTTAACATTTTCCAAGTTCTTTTGATCAGGTGGTCATGGTGAGCAACAGCAGCAAGTGAAGTGGGCAGACAAAGGCAATTTAGGATGACTTGGAGTATTAGCCGGTTACTCCCTAAATGAGCACGGCATGCTTTTGTGTGCTTTTGCTGCTTTTATCAACACTAAATTAATAGCCCTCTATATTTTTGGTTTTGGCTTTCTTTTGGAGACAGGTTCTCACTAGGTAGTCCAGGCTGGCCTTAAACTCGCTGCGATCCTCCTGCCTCAGCCTCTCAAGCGCTAAACTTACAGGCGTGTGCCACCACACCTAGTGAATACACCTCTGTATTTTTCAGTGTTTGCACTTATAATGACATTTTTTTTCTGGTAGTGATGGTAGTGTGGTGTGAACTCAGGGCTTTCACACTGACCTGCACCCTGAGCCACTGCTAGCCCCGCCTTTTTCTAGGCAAGGTGTTGCTAAGTCATTTAATTGCCCAGGTGTGCTTGAAATCGCAGTCCCCCTGCCTCAACCTCCCCCAGTGCTGGGGTTACAGTCAAGCACCACCACGCCCAGTAATTATGCTTTTACTACTTTTGGATTTTATTGATTTTTGCTGGATTTTTTTTATGAATTTAGGACAGGGTCTATAGAGTATACAGGGTCTCACTACTCACGTAGGACTCGTAGTGCTCTTATTTTCAGCTGCCTAAGTGCCGGGATTACAGGCACACATGACCACGCCCAGTCTCAATAGCTGTCTCAGCATGCCCTGAGGGCGGGGCCAGCACGGCATGCCAGGGATGGAACCCTGGCCGCTGCGCTCTGCCAAAGCAGGCGCTTTAGGCCACTGAGCTATCTGGCCAGCCAGACTTTTGGTGTTATTAAAAATTTTATTTTGCAAAAAATTCACAATAAAACCTTTGAATTAATTTAGAAAGCTGTAGAATAATCTTGAGATTGAGATTAACAAAGTGTTAGCTAACTACTGAAGCCAGCATAAACATGAACTGTGCAACGCTTCTGCATCTCTAAAGCTCACAGGCCCGCCCATGTTTTCTCCTCTGCAGGTTGGACCAGGTGGTGATTCATGTAGGAGCGCTGAGCCTGAAGGAGTCCCAAGAGCTGGTATGTGTGCAGACCCATGCAGGAGGGGCCACAGAGACCCAGAGGCAGAAACTAGTGTTAGAATGTAACTGTCATGGGTGAGGATCTGCAGGAGGACGGGAGGCGAGGTGTGGGGCCTCCAGGAGCCTCCCTCTAGAAGCCACAGGAAGGCTGGGGCCAGTGGCGATGCTGCAGTGGAACAGGAGACCGAAGTCTGCAAAGCAAGGCAGCTGGCTGAGTGTAGCCATGCATGCAGGCTGAGAGCAGAGCCTGGGCCAACTCCAGCTTTCTCAGGGAAGTGGGGGGCAAGGTCATCTGCTGGACATAGAGAAGAGGGGAAAGGGGGTCATGGATTGAAGAGCGGCAGTAACTGAGCCGCTGTTTGAGAATGAGGATAAATGTACAACCCAGGGGGCTGTCCGGTGGCGGTGAAAATTACCCAATTGTGGTAGATTGAATTCGCATTGCTGTGGAGGTTTTCCTCAGTACATTCTTCAGCTAGAAAATGAAGACAAGGATGCAGACAAAGGTTTTGCTCTAGGTTCAGGGAGTAATAAGTTAGGGAGAACAAAAGACGAGGCACAGTTGCTGGCAGGAAAGCAGATGCTGCTGAGAGGACTGGTCAGGAAAAGAATCCAGAAATGTTTAAAATCGGTTATCACAAAGCCCAGCACTTGAACCACTACGAAAGAACCATGCTTCCAGAACTTAGATACTCTGATTCCAAAGATTAAGACAATTTGATCTAACCTCGAATCTTCTTGCTGGAGCTTTCATTATTCATCCTGGTTTTTTTTAATTTAGAGGTGAAATACATGATATATACCTTGGAAATCTCACTTCGGGGCCCTCAGACAAGCCACAGGGGAACAGTGCTCTGTGTGGGGAGGCTGGAAGCGGAGCTTGCACACTATTTTCTCACACTTGATTTGCTCTTTCAACTACAGTAGCATGGCACAGAGGAATTTGGTTTTCTCTTTTTAATGGATTTCTTTTTTGATGTGTGATAAGCATTTTAAAATACTGTCATGTCAAAACATGAAAAATGTCATCTGGGGTTGGCCACTAGAAAAGGACAGAGGTGACCTTGGAGGTAATCCTCCGGGGTGGGGATGATCTGGAATTAGGACGCTGTCCCTGAGGAAGCAATAATACAGGCATCTGCTCATCTCTAGCTCTCCACTAGGCGGTGCTTGGAAAGGCCCTGCTACCTGCGCTCTCCCGTGGGTGTCTTCTTCTCCCTTGCTTTCAGCTAATGTTAATCTTCTACTCTTTTCCTAAGCAGAATACTAGGGCCAGGGAGATAGCCCAGTGGCTTGAGCAAGTGCAAGATCAAGAGTTCGATCCCCTGTACTGCAAAACAAACAAAAACTCAACCAGCTAAACAAAGTACTAAACAAGTGATTTACACACATCACATTTATCCACCCATGGTGGCACATGCCTATAATCCCAACACTCTGGAGGCTAAAGCAGGAGGATCACCACAAGTTTGTATCCCAGCCTGGGATACACGGTGAGTTCAAGACCAGTCTGGACTACATAGCAAGACCCTGTCTCAAACAAACAAATACATCACATTTTGATTCTATGTTACTGAAAGAATAAAAGTATAATCTGTGTCCTTTGAACTATATCCCAAACTTTTTTCTCTTCAAGTCTCTAATTTACTTCTAGATTTTTGTTTGTTTGTTTGTTTTTTGTTTTGAGAGGTCCTCACTGTGCAGGTCAGCTGCCAGTAAACTCACCGTGTCACCCAGGCTGGCCTCGCAGTGCCTGTGATCCTCCTGCCTCAGCCTCCTGAGTGCCGGAATTATGGGCTTGTGCCCCAAGCCCGGCTCTAATTTCCTTCCACAGAACGTTAATCATATCTATTAGGCAGAGATGTTACAAGTTAACATCGCCTCAGGAAGCCCCTGTCCCTGGCTGGGGAAGCATGTGCGAAAGCAGTCAGCAGGCGTCTGCCAAGGCCCTGCTGGGTGCCCAGCCCTGTGCCTGGCCTGGACACAAGGGTGAAGAGGATCTGAGCCCTGCCCTTAGGGGTTCACACTCTAGTTGGAGGTGGTCACCATGTACAGCTATCCTCCAGTGTGACACACACTTAGGTACTCTGCTGAGAGTAGATTAAAAATACCGTGAGTTCACAGAAAGAGGAAATGTTATTTTTTTCTAGAGGAGTTTGAGAAAACATCAGAAGTATGGTGCAATCTCTGTCTTGTGATGTGTGTAATCTTTGCTCAAGTTTTCTCAGCTGCCTTCCCAAACTGCCACTAGATAAGAAAGATAACATTTTCCAGGAGGCTGAACAGGAGAAGAGAGCTTATACCTGCAAAACTGTCTCCTCAGTTATCACTTAAATTAACCACACATTTCCTTAGCAAGATTTTTTGCACGGACAGAATCCAAGGAAGTGCAAAGTGCATGGCTTTTCTCCACCAGGCATGTCTGTTTTTCAACCTATGATTTTCCTGGCAGTGACATCCTCATTAATTTGACCAATTTTTCTACTCTCTAAAGGTGCTCTGCTCTCTAAGCTGCAGATGACTGTAATAAGTCACTTAATCTAGTATGTTCTTCTTGTAAAGGCCCGACATGCAGCCGAAATAGGAGCTGATGGCATTGCTGTCATTGCGCCTTTCTTTTTCAAGCCCTGGAACAAAGGTAAGTGGATGGCTCTAAATACACAGCGCCTCCCACACTCTACCTCTTGCTTCTGTTCAGAGTGATTGTATTTACTCCGTGAAGTCGTGCAGGCCAGAAGTGGCACTGGTATAGTAGTTCTCTAGAATACTCGCTTCCCCTAGATCTACAACATACTACCTTGCTCTAAAGCACTTTAATTCTTTGACCAATAATCTGATTGGATCATCTGGGAGCCCCAGCTGGTAGGTACCTACCCAGTCAGTTACATATATAAAAGAATCACACGCCGAAGCACAAAACTATTTTTCTCCAGAGAAAGGACTTGGGGCTGGGGAGATAGCTCAGCAGTCTAAGTACCTGCCTGCAAGCTCAAGATCCTGAGTTCAATCCCCAATACCACGTGCTGTGCCAGCCTCAGAACCTTGGGTGTGCTGTGCCAGCCACAGAAGCTGGCCTTGGTAGCACATGCCTGTAATCCCAGCGCTGGAGAGGCTGAGACAAGAGGATCACTGAGTCCGAACTGCGTAGTGAGGCCTTGTAACAAATAAATAAAAACTTAAAAAATAGAGAGAGGAGAATGCAAGAGAATGGCCTTTTGGAACTACATGTGCTACTGAGAGTTCGTGAGTAATGATAAGTTTGAAAAGAACTGAACAAAAATGTCCTTTGTCTTCCAAAACTTCAGAACTTTCTCCTGTACTTCTCCGTGGAAACTATTTATGTATTCAAGTATGCTGAGACTTTTAATCCTTATTGATTAGCAATAAAAGAAATACAAAGCTTAAAAGGATAAAAACAGATGTTATTTATATATGTGATCAAATAAATCCATAGCTAAATGTATAATAGTTCAAAATCATCATGAAATGTCACCTAATTGCTGGTAGACACAAAGTTGTTAATGTTGATAAGGACTTTAAATATTGATCATTTGAGATTTATGTTGGGTTTCTTTAGTTTTTGTTTGGTTGGGTGGTTGGGGGTCTTGGAGCGGTCTTTTGATGGTTTTGGTTTGTTTTTGTTGTTGTTGTTGTTTTGGTGTTGTTGTTGTTGAGACAGGACCTCGACAAATAGTCCAGGCTGGCCTTGAACTTGCTGTGTAGCCCAGGCTTGCCTCAAGCTCACAGCAATCCTCTTGCCTCTGCTCCCAAGTGCTGGGATTACAGGCTTGCGCCGCCATATCCAGTCTAATTTGAGAATTTAGAATGAACGTTTTAGAAGTTTTTTTCATATGATTTTGCACATTTTTGTATAAGCAGAACTTCAAAAGACAAAATAATGAATTATACATAATGATTTTATGTGAAATATTTATCACAGACTAAGTCATCACAGTACTGAGAGGAAGCACATAAAATTTTCTTCCCATCTGCTCAGTTGCATCCGAATGACAAGCAGCTCTGCTGGATTTATTCGTCACCTACAGTTGGAGCTCACCTGAGATGACACGGGAGTCGTTCTTCCTCAGTAAAGAGTGTGCTTTGGTCTGTCTGGGCCTCTCTTATAAGTGAAAACCACCAAACTCTGGTTGAATTTTTATAAAATGTGCCACCAGTTTTTATGACTTCATCCTTGAAGCAGATGTTCATATTTTGTTATCATTTTCTCAGTATCAACCATAGTATTTTGATTCTTGGGCACAGTCTCTGCCACATGGAACCCTCTGCATTGAGAGGACAGGAGTCCCATCTGGCTAGTTTCTGGTTTTTATAAGAGCATGAGGTGGTTACCTCTTACAATAAGGGAAGTTTGCACCAACATTTTTTAATTTTTTTTTTTTTTTTTTAAGAATGGGGCTGACTAAGGATTGGATCCAGGGCCTTGGGCATGCTAAGTATATGTGCTCTACCACTGAGCTATACCCTAGGCCTTGTGGGTGTAGGGTGGGAGGGGTACCAGGAATTGAACTCAGGACCTTGCACTTGCCAGGTTGGCACTGTGCTGCTGAGCTATACCCCCAATTCCTTAATGGTAGTTTACAGTGGTAGAAAAATAATCATCCTATTTTGGCCCTTCCACAGAAAGGAAAGTAAGGTCCAGCTAGATACCTCAGCAGATTAGAGCACCTGCTTAGGCAGATGCAGGGAGTGGGGTTCGATCCATGACGTGCTGTGCCAGCCCTCCCCCCAGGGCGTGCTGAGATGGCAATTGAGACTGGGCAAGGTGGTGTGCACCTGTAATCCCAGTGTTTGGGAGGCTGAAAACAGGAGGATCCCTGCGAGTCCAATCTGTGTAGTAAGACCCTACATAGACCCTTTACTAAATACATTAAAAAAAAGATGGAAAAAATGGTTGAAAAGACAGCGTAGTAGTGATATCAAGAATGGTGAAGAGTCAAGAATTTTCAGTTTCCAAGGCAGATGGTTGCACTTTGTCAGATAATTCATTTTTTGCCCCAAAAGCCACTGCTTTACACCTGACTTTTCCTCCTGCTCTTCCAGATGTCCTGGTTAATTTTCTAAGGGAAGTGGCGGCAGCTGCCCCTTCATTGCCATTTTATTACTATCATATCCCTGCCTTGACAGGGGTAAAGAGTAAGTACTGCTTCTCTTGATATTTCCTCCTGATGCTCACATCTTACCCTCCTCTAAAAATCCCCCTCCATCCGCCCTGTCCTATGAACACATAGTACTATTGATGACACAGTTTTGGTTGCCCCAGAATATGCCACCAACCTATCCCAGGCCCTACCCACCATTTGCATCACCTCCTACAGGAAGTTCATGACTACCAAAGAAAAATTGACCTCCTCAGAGCACACACTGTTCCTCTGTCTCATAAGCCCTGATTCTCATATGAGAAGACACAAGATCACAAGCCCAGCAAGGGCAGGACAGTCTCTACCTGGCATCTACTGTATTCTCAGTGACCGTCCCAAAAGGAGGTACTATGATCTTTTCTGGTTTTTCTTCTAGCTTTTCTTTTAGTATTATTTCTCCAGTGAGAAGATTTTTATAATTAGATGAAATGCGTTAAATTACTTTTAAAAACTCATTATTTTCTACATTCTATGAAAAGAAAACAAATGGAGACTGAGCTTTATAAATATTCTGAAGAAAAACCAAACTCCTTCCTCTCGCATTCACCATTCCACACTGACCACTTCATCTCTGGTCATTACATGAAATACTCATATGTGTGAGGATTTCACCCCACCAACAACCACCTCTTCACAGAACACAGCATAACCAGCAACTCAGCTCCATTCTGACACTAACTCAAGCTAACATCTGACCCCACAGGTCAAGGACTCAGTCCCAGGAGACTGTGCCCACTTTAAGCATAAGCCTCCAGACCTGAGTATGGTCTGCGCTTCTGATGAATTGGCAGTAAGTCAGTATTCCCACAACCCCCTCCTAAGTTTTGATTGATTTGCTAGAGCAGCTCACAGAACTCAGAGAAATGTCTTACCTACTATTATCTGTGTGTTATGGAGGATACATGAAAGCTACAGATGGGTGATACATAGGGAAAGGGGGAAGGAGCTTCCATGTCTTCCCTGGGTTCACCACCCTTCAGAAGTCTCCATGTGTTCAGTAGCCCAGAAAATCTCTAAACCCTGTCCTATGGGGTTTTAGGAAAGCTTTATTATAAAGGCATGATTTATTACATTATTGGATAGTGGTGATCAGTTCAACCTTCAGACCTCCCCTCTCCTCAGATATTGGGAGAATGGGACTCAAAAGTCCCAACCCTCTAATCACATGGTTATTTCCTGACATCCAGAATGTCCAGGAACCCACCAGAAGTCTCCTCATTAGATCAGAAAACGCTTCTGTTGGGCTGGGCGTGGTGGTGCACACCTGTAATCACAGCACTCTGGAGGCTGAGGCAGGAGGATCACCATGAATCCTAGGCCAGCATGGGTAACACAGTTGAAGGCCAGCCTGAATCACAAAGTGAGACCTTTTCTCTAAATAAGGATAACAACAAAAAGAACAAGATGCTTCTGTCACCCAACACATTCTGAAGGATTTAGAAATCATCAGATGTGCCTATCACTTAAGAAATTCCAAAGGTCTTGAAATACCACTTCAGAAACCAGGGTCAAGACCAGGGAGAAAGCCCAGTGGCATAAGCGCCTGCCTGGCAAGCACAAGGTCCTGAGTTCAATCCCTGGTACCAAAGAAGAAAAAAGAAACTAGGGTCAAAAACCAAGTATTACAGTGGTGGCAAACCTACCTTACGGTGCCAATTCAGGCTGCTTGTTATCACTGAAAGCTCTAAAGGGTTCGCCATCCCTGAAGTACCAAAACAACAGATTCTCCTAGCTCTTCCACATGCAAAAGTTCGGGGAGCAGTGTCACAGGCACTGGGGAGTACATATACCCACTATCACAACATCCACCTAGTGACCTTAAGGAATGGAAATGTTTGGATTACAGTTTAACAGGTACCTAGGAACCGCTTGGAGGGGCAAGCGATTGTGCCACCTGCTGTCAGCCCCACTAACAACAGCCCAAGTGGCTCAGCCCGGCATGGGTCTGCAGCCCTTACGTGGCACTCCCTGCTGCTAGGAGGACTAATGGGGCATTTACTATTTTGAACAGTTCGTGCTGAAGAGGTGTTGGATGGCATTCAGGATAAGATCCCTTCCTTCCAGGGTCTGAAGTTCAGTGACACTGACCTCCTAGACTTCGGGCAGTGTGTGGATCAGAACCACCAGCAACAGTTTGCTTTGCTCTTTGGGGTGGATGAGGTAAGTCATCCTTGGGGTACCCTGGTGGAGCAGGTTCTCTCCAAAGCAGTCCATGTAGCTGTTTATATGGTGGTGTCGTCAGCATTCGGTTTTTTGTAAACATGAGCTACTCCTATCTTTTTCTCACTAGCAACTGCTGAGCGGCCTGGTGATGGGCGCCACCGGAGCTGTGGGCAGGTGAGCATGAACCGTGGGCCTGAGGTCGTGCGTCCCAGCTGCTCCTAAAGGCGCTGATCTCTGGACCAGCCACACATCTGTGTGGCCATTCTTCCCCGTAGAAGCTGCTTGGCGTTTCCATACTTGTTCAGTGAAAGGGATTCAAGCAGGACTCAGCTGAGGGCTAGACTCTTGGGCATCTTATGTGGTGTAGGCACCTGTCACAGTTAGAGGTGAAACTTCAGTAGAGACACACCCAGGGCCTGTAACTTAGTGGGCATGTCCTGAGCTCCGTGGGCCCTGGTGACCAGCACCTCGGGCAGGGGCACACACCGTGGATGCCAGAAATTTGATGACAACATTAACCAGGTATGGTGGCACACACCTATAAACCCAGCACTTTGAAGGCTGAAGCAGACAGGTCGCTATGAGTTTGCTGCAGGTTTGGGACCAGTCTAAACTATACAGTGAGATCCTATCTCAAAAAAAAAAAAAGATTACAGATAACAAAAATCCATTCAAACTAGGCTATGTAAAAGAAGGTAAATTTTATTTTATTTGTAAAATACAAGGGCCAGCTAAATAGCTCAGCAGATTAAAGAGCTTGCTTAGGCAGAGCACAGTAGCTGGGGTTCGATCCCCGGGTTGCCGTGCCAGCCCCACCCCTGGGCACACTGAGATGGCGATTGAGACTGGGCAACATTATATTTATTTTAGTGTTTATATACACTTTAAGGCTTTATAAACCCTTCTCACTCTTATAAACCTTTCCCATGCTTTTATAAACACTTCTAGCATCTGGAGAGATGGCTCAGTAGAATAAGTGCTTCCCTGGCAAGCGCAAGGGCCTGAGTTCAATCCCTGGTTCCGCAAAAAAATAAATAAATAAAAGATGAATAAAATAAATAAAAACACTTCTAATGTTCTTAACCATTTTCTAAACTCATAAACCTACATAATTTTAACACACATATAGTACATGGTACTGAAAAATCCCGCGATATAGAAAAACATCTGCAATAAATAATTTAGACTACTATTTTTTTGAAAACCTATGAAACAGTGAGTCTGTGAAAGTTGAACCACAAAATAGCGAGGGACTACTGTGTCAGGATGTTAGCTGGGTGTGGTAGCACAGTCCTGTAATCCCAGCCAATGGGATTGCACACTCTTATTTGAGCCTAGTTTGGACAATTTAGAAATTTAGTGAGGCCTTGCCTGAAATTTTTTTTAAAAATTAAGAACACTCTGCAATGTTCAGTGTGAAGGCCCTGGGTTCAATCCCCAGTACTGGAAAAAAATAAATAAATAAAATCCAAGTCAATAACTTTTTTTTAAGTGCTGAGAATTTAACCCAAGGCCATGCAAATCATATATTCACCACTGAGCCACATGCCCAGTGCTATTTATTTTATTTTATTTTAAGACAATAAAATATGCTGTTTCGCAGACTAACTTTGAACTTGTGGCCCTCCTGCCGCGTAGCTAGGATTTTAGGCATGGGCCACCATGCCTGTCCTTTGGCAGTCTTTTTTGGAGAAAAGTAAAAACTAGGCCACTTTCCAGGGATTTGAGAACAGGATTTATGTGACGTCCCTGGAATAGGATAAGCATTTAATCAATGGTTCTTAATTTTATTTTTTTATTATTAGTCACACAAAAACCATTCAGTGAGGAATTTAGATAATTTGTTGGGCTTTGCCACTTTTCTATGACAGACATGGTGGCCCACACCTATAATCCTAGCTACAGGGCAGGAGGACCACAAGTTCAAAGTCAATCTATGAAACTTTTCCTATGGGGCTCCCTGTACCCAGCTTCTCAGCACAAGTGTTTAGGACTCAGCTCAGCTGCTGAGTTCTGTCCACAGTTCTCTCACACTGAGCTTCTGTGTGTGCCCTGGGCCAAGTATGGGCCTCGATCAAATACACCTCCCAACCAAATAGACCTCATCTTTTTTAAAGCCCTTTCTCCATTTCCTTCTCCCCCCCACCCCCACGCTGTTCTCTGCCTTCCCTGTTGCTCCATTTCATGTCACTACAGGACTCAGAATTGAAGACAGCCTGATCCCCTACAGATAAGACCTAAAAATAGCAATGTGGGATACTTGAATAGTTGTTTTCCTTTTTAAATAACAAATGAGTGAAGATCTTGACATTCCCTATTGAGTTATGGAACTTGCAATACTTACTCTTGTCTCGCCAGTACTTATAACTATCTGGGGAAAAAAACAAACCAGATATTGGAGGCATTTGAACGGAAGGATTTCTCTTCAGCTCTGAACTATCAGGTAAGTTGTGCCTTCCCTTCACATAAATCACAGCCTTTTTCTTCCCCTATTTGAAAGTCCTTTATCCCCCTTCATCTGCATGCCGGTCACATCTGCCCTCATTAAAATGGCCTCGCTGCCCCCCTGCTGTACCTCTTTTCTGTTTCTTACTTTTTCTAGTTTAAAACTGAATCCCTCCCCTATGTGTCTAATGGAGGCAGGCCTCACAAGAGAATGAATCTTCTGTTCTTCCAGAGAAGGATCTTATTTTTATTCTACCTTCCCAGTATTTTTGTGACTATAAAATAGCAATTGTAAGTTTCTGGGAAAATGACCACACACGACCATCACTTTGAGGATGTCACACTTGAGTCACCAGAGAGTACAAGGAAACTGAGAACCTAAAACAAGGAAGGCATAATCCAAAGTCAGGTTTATGCAAAAGCCCCTGGGAGCTGGAGGGAGGAACCTGAGGCAGACAGCAGGAAGAAGCAGGTCCCAGGGTGGGACTATCTGTTCCCACCCTTGGGCCTCAAAGCTGAGATGGCAGAAATCTCCGACTTCCTTGTTTCAGTAGTTACCTTTGTTCAGCCCCAGACCAAATGAAGCAAAGAGCAGGAACAGGCAGGAGGCCATGCCAACCAGACTAAACTGTGACAGGACTTTGTTTTAAATTAGGTGCAAACTTATAACCCCAACAGCCTGGGAGGATAAAACAGGCAGATGGCAATTTTTTTAGCCCAGCCTGGGAAATTTAGTGAGACCCTGTCTCAAAATTTAAACAAAACTTTAATAGGGAGTAGAGGGTGGGGACAAAGCTCAGCAAGAATGCCTGGTTTCAATAACCAGTACCGCCAAAAACAAAAAACAAATTAGGAAAACAAGTCTGCTTCATATGAGGCTGTATGTCTCTGCAGGCGTTGTCTGCTCTTGTTGTTGTTGTTGTTATTTCTTTAGCTTCCTGAAAGTTGTTTCTGGAAATCTCACCCTGCTCTCAGGTGAGGGACAGTGCAGTTACAAATGGAGCAAGCGGAAGTGGCTGTGATATTAACTTTCCATGGGCTGATTGGATTTCTATCTTTTTTTTTTCCCCTTCTGTCCCTACTCAAATCATCTCATTCAAAATAGTGTTAGTAAGGAATTCCATTCACCACCAAGTGTGACAGGGACTCATTTACTCATATGCCAGGGACTATGCTGACACACGGGTAATTTATACCAGCGGCAGAATTTCAGTAAAGCTGGTTACCACCCTCCAGAGCAGTCGATCAAGTGCAAGTTAGGGTTCCACTTAGCCTCATTCACTCTCCTGGATGTAAGTGTCATCTGTTACTTTACATGACTGAAGTGACACATGTACAAACATATGTCTTGCAGTCATGTTTATAACAGCAAAAGACAGGGACAGCCCAAATATCCATCTGTAAGGTAGCAGTTAAATAAGTCATGTGCAAGTTAGGCCGTGGAATTGTATGCAGCCCTTAAAAAGAATGACATCTCTGTTCTACTTGAAAAGACCTGTAACATTAAATGGAAAAAATCAGCACAAGTGGTGGTGCACATCTGTAATCCCAGCACTCGGGAGGCTGATGCAAGAGGATCTTTGCAAGTTTGAGACCAGCCTGAGCTGCATAGTAAGGCCCTGTCTCGAAAAAGAAAAAGAAAAAAGAAAAAATCAGCACAGTACAGGATAACCTTCTCAGTTACTTTTCTCTCACTGCTAGGACAAAATACCCAACACACGGAATTAAGGAAGGAAAGGTTTACTTAGCTCACAGTTTGTGGAGGTTTCAGTCCATACTCAGCTCCTTCAAGGCAAAGTGGCACATGGCAAGGACAGCAGTTCATGGCTGCGGAAAACAGCAAAACAGTAAGAGCAAAAGGGAGGAGCGGTAGCGGCAGCAGCAACGGTGGCTGAGAGCAAGCCTCCTTCCCTTCCTCATATCACAGTCAGGCTGCCCATGGGTGTAGCCCTCACGCGCATAATCCCAGCGTTGGATCAGGAATTAATCACAAACTCTAGAAGCCACCCCATGACTGCATAAGGCTTTGGGAGGACACCGAGACACAAACCAGAGCAATAATAGATGTATGTGCTGCAGTTTGTGGGAGAAGAGCATGTGTTTATGGTTATAAGTTTCTTAATAGTAAGATTATATTCTATGTTGAATTTTACTTCAGGAATGCTAGGCAAGCACTCTGCCATTGAGCTACACCCCAGTTCTCAGCACTAACACTTTAGTTCTTTTATTTGATGCGTTAAGGGCATCCTAAGGCAGGAATAATAGAGATCTGTATTTTTTTCAAAATCAGGCCAGAACTTTGAAAGGAAAAAATAGAAAAGGACAACCTGCACCCCTGTCGTGTTGATCAGCTTTAGAAAATCACACTTGTGGAAGTTGATCTAGCAGTGATTATCATAAACCCAAGCCTTGGCTAAGTACCCCTTAGGTATCGTGGAAGACTCCCCAGAAGTATGATCACCCCAGTTTGAAAACTCTGCAGTAGGGGCTCGGTTAGCTCAGGAGCTGGATGGGCCAGGGTGCGTTCCTACTTCCCTCACCAGCGCAGGCTCTCCTTGGAGCTTCTTTCTCTGCCTGGGCCAGGCGTGTAAAGATCCTACTTTATCCTGGATGGATCGCAACCATCCGAACTTGGCGGCCCCACCACGTGTGCGCATGCGCGCACACAGACAGCGCATGCGCGCACACAGACAGCGCATGCAATGTGCAGACTTTTTAGGGTTTCTGTCATTTAACTTCTGAATTCCTTGAATTCTTTTCACCGTTCAGCCATAGTGACTGCACATTTGTTTGTTCCTTTCTAGTTTTGTATCCAGAGATTTATCAACTTTGTGGTAAAACTAGGTAAGTGCCGCCCTCTTCCTGCACTGTCTGCTTCTGCCAAATATCAAGGAAAATGTCATCACTTTCTCTGAGAGATTAACAAGAACCCTCTGCACTCTGAGGCAAGCAGGGCTTTGTTTCCAATGCAGATCTTCAGAACCAACCCTATAAAGAGGCGATGCACACTCCCGCAGTCTCTGGCAGTCCTCTACCGTTTCTCTCGTTTCTGCATGTCGTCCACCACAGACATGCCCCGCTGTCTGCTCTTTTCCTTTCACATTCTCACAGTTCCACTCCTCCCATGCCTCTGCACATTAAATTTCCACTGCTGAACTCGGAAGATGGCAGCCTGAGTACAGATCTCTCTCGACCAGGTGACCGACAGCTCCCCCAAGAGTATCCGAAAACGGGCATTAGCACAAGTAAGCTCAAGTGAAGGGAGATTAGATGATATACCAGAGTAAAACTGGGGGAAATACAGTGAACTTGAGTGGAGAAGCTGCTCCAGAATCTTACTCCAGAATAAAGGACAGTATTCACTGCACTGCTGCAAGAGAGGGGCCCCTGGGCCACTGGCACCCGGGTCAAGTCCAGCTAAAGTTCAGGTGTGCTCTCGGCAGATCTCGTACCTCCTGCTCAGAGCCTCCGCACAAACGCTTTGGTCCTAGCAACAGCGCCCTCTCCAAGCGCCGGCTACACTCCGTGTCCCCCACTCCCCAAGACTCCAGCACACCCTCTCAGCCTTTCCAGCGCAATATTTCTGTTTGTTTTTCCACTTTCATACTTTTTGCCATATTTCAGTACATTAATGCTATCAATGACCTTTTATTATTTCCGTGTGCTAAACATACTTTCCACAAGATTATGGGTATCAACTGATAGTTACATGCTCTTAAAGTGCATTAAAATAGACAGCAAAATACTAAAATCTTAAAAGAACTAAAGCTTGCCTGTGTACCGCTTAAGAAGGCGATACTGCAACGGTTTTGTAAACCATGGCTGGCAGATCCGACCTGGAGATTCTACTGTTGCTAGAGGGCCAAGAGGTGAGGGAGTTGGGCAGGGGCATTGCTCAGTTCTACTGTAACCAAGTTAATTTAATAAAAGGAAGTTGCTGGCGTGGTGGTGCACAGCTATAATCCCAGCTGCTTTAGAGGCTAAGGCAGGGAAATTGCAAATTCAAGGCTACCCTGCGTAGCTTAGTGAGACCCTGTCTCATAAAATTTTTTAAAAATGATAGGGATGGGTTGAAGAGATAGCTCAGCAGTCTAAATGCCTGCCTGGCAAGAGCAAAGACCCAGGTTCAATCCCTGATACCGCGTGCTGTGCTGGCCACTAAAACTGAGTGTGGTGTCACAGCCTGTAATCCGAGTGCTAGGGAGGCTGAGACAGGAGGATCGCTGTAAGTTCAAATTGTGTACCAAGGGCCGGGGAAATAGCTCAGTAGAATTAGCACTTGCTTGGCAAGCGCAGGGTCCCAAGTTCAATCCTCAGTTCCACAAAAAAAAAAAAAAAAAATTCATACCAAGACCCTGTACCTAATTCATTAATTAATTAACACATAAATAAAAGATTTTAAAAATGATAGGGATGTAATTCAATGAGAGAGTTTGCTTAGCATGTGCAGAGCTCTGGGTCAGTCCCAAGAAGAGAAGGAAGAAAGTTAGAAGTTAGTTCTTATTATTATCTTGAATCCAACAGTCAACTAAAAACACAAGTCTCAGACAATGATAGATAATTTTGAGTTATATTTTCTGGGTATTAATAATTACTTTCTTTTTTATCTGTTTTAGACTGAAGGTTTTATCTTTTGTCAGTTCAGAAAAAGTCTGTTGTGTTTTGTTTTGATGGAACTGGGGATTGAACTCAGGTCCTTGTACTTGCCAAGGAAGCACTTATTCTACTGAGCCATCTCCCCAGCCCCAAAAGGATGGCTGCTAAGTCTGCTTTTTCTTTTCTTTCTTTCTTTTTTTTTTTTT